CAACTTCCTCTTTCTGAGCCTGCATCTCAGGCTGTAGGTTCTCTGCCCCTTTGCTGCTCCTTGTTTCAGTTTGCAAAGCTCGCCAGTCGTACAAAATGGTCTCGTCGCTGATGCTGCTACTTGTGCAGGTGCTGAGTGATGCGTCGGACGTAGGTGGAACGTGTGTCTCAATGAGCTTGTGGCCCTGCTCTGTATCAGTATAGAGATACTCCACTGGTTCATCCAGGTTCTGGATTACTGGTCGCCCCCCGGGAGTGAAAGACAGGTCTGCCAGGCGCTGTGGTCGACGGCTCGACAGCCGGCTCATGCTGTATCTTGGGGTGCATCCGGTGCCTGGAGTACGTGGAGGGTCAGTGTCCTCCGTGGATGTCTTTGGAGAAAAACAGCTGGAGGTGGACGAAGAGGATGCAGGGTTGGACTCTGAGCCGTAGTCTTCAGTAACCCAAAGGTCATCGTTTTTAAAATCATCTACCTGATCTTCAGCTGCCAGATGAGCTACTTTTGCCTTATCCGAACCAGTAAGATCCTCCGTTAGAAATTCATCATCATCAGGAAGCTGTCTGTTCTGTCCTCTTATGGCAAGAATAATCTCCGCAAAATTTTTTTCATAAGCAGCGACTGAGTCGTCCTGGTTCTTATCTATTATGACTGTGTCATCCAAAGACTGGGATCCCTCAACACAATCAGTTACACTGTTGTGTAGAATAAGAGTATCAGCTTGGCTATTACTGACACTTGGACCGCTAAGAGTGCTGTACTGGGAGTCTTGGCTGTCCTTGGGTAATGAGTCGCTTTCAGTGGACCTCTCCAAGTGGCGTGTCATATAATGAGGTGTGTGAGGTGAGTTGAATCCATGCCCACTACTCTGACACCTAGGCGTCTGCCGAAACATTCGAACTGGCGTTGGCAGTGTGTCATCAAATAAAGAAGACGTGATTAACATGGTCTCAGGGTTTCTGCTTGTTCTCATTGAGCAGCGGCTCAATCTAGACCGCGTCCTGCCGGTCACAAAAGGGCTGGGGGTAAATTGAAGTCTACTATTTTCTCCTGATGACTCAGCATCTTGCCTGACCCCATCAAATTTTCTTTCAGTGCTTAAAAAAGATCCAATAGAAGCTTTCAATATATTTTTCTGTTCATGTTGTTTTTCAGATAAGGTCAGTTTAGCACACAAACCCGATAAAGGGTGTACAGTTTCAGATTTTGAGTCTCTGTTGGGTTCTGTTTGAACTCTTAACATACTTTTATCTCCCTTTTGGAGTTCATTTTCAGAGTCTGTAGAATCCTGTTTGGTCCTTGTATCAGACTCTTCCTCCTCTATAAGAGGGAATGAAGGATGTCGTAGAGAAACAGGAGCATCCAGACAGCTGGTGTAATGGTCACTTTCACAGCTACTGTAATGACTGCTGCAAGTCTCACTGCTGCTGCTGCCCACATGGGCCTGCACTTGTGTTTCAGAAGGATTCACTGGAGGTTCTTTGTCACTCTGCTCCTCTGGCTCATCATCACCGAGTTCAAGAGCACAGTGACTGATAACTGTTTTCTCTAGCTCCCCTTCTGTGCTCTCACTGCTTTCCCTAGAAAAGACAAATACATGGTCCGGTGATGTGACGTCGATCCCCTGCTGTGGTAAAACCGTAGCCATGCGCTCAGAATCTAGAAAGTCTGTGTATTCAGACATGTCAAAGGGTAAAGTGTCAGTGCACTGGCTGCTTTCAGCAGCAGTGCTCTGTTTAGGAGTTTCTGGGCTGAAAACTGGAAAATAGTCATCTACTTTTCTAAAGCTAACACTCTTCCGACTTGCTCGCCTGGATAAAAACTCTGAAGGAGCATTAGCTGAAGCCACCTGTTCATTGTCTTTTGTGACTGATCCATCGTCACAACTTAAGGCATCATTTTCTGGAACTGCCATTGTAGCTACAGGTCCTGCAGCAGAAATGCGAGTGCTTGACAGTATAGAAGGCCCATTAAATGATACTCCCCTGAAACTTGGTCTTCCATTTATGTTAGACAAGGTGAAAAAGGATGAACGCCTCGTGCTGCTCAGAGGTACTTCACCAAAACCACTGATCATGGACGGGTGGGAACTGAAACTGTAGTCTGATTCAGGATAGCTGGACGTGTCAATCTGGTCTGAGTACACAGCTGTGACAAGAAAACACACATTTTCAAGTCCCTGCATATAACCACACTGTATACATTTTCACTTTTCTCATTTTGCAGCACTTGCAACCAACTTGGTGGAAAGTTCAGCTAATCTTTGGTTTATGTATTACATTTAACAATTAATTTCTAGCTTGACTTTGAATCTGCTGGCACATCCTCTTCAGAAAAACTATGAAAACTGACTTTACTATTTCACTCTATACTCTGCAACAAGGTGTCATATCTTACAGTATTGAAATTGAGGGAGGTCCTCTTTTTCTGTATCAGCTGAGGACTCGTATTCATGAAGAAGAGAGGCACATTTCCGATTGTCCTGTTGTTCTGCTAGTTGTGCTGGTGTGTTCCCTTCCTGCACAAATAAATAGACAATAATGGTCAGATTACATAAATTAAATATTACAGCGAAATAAAATATTTATTCTTTAAAAATGTCTAATTCCTAGCAGTCAGATCTGTCATATGGTATTTGGTGGTAAGCCGACCCCTCAGGAGTGAGTCATTGTTGTGCAGCGTAATCTGGTTACTCTGACCACATGAAGTAGTCCAGGATCCACAAGGAATTTTTTACAAAAAAGCTCTCAGATCAATATTTGAGTAAAGCAAACCAAAACTGAGTGAATTTAATATTCTAAAACTGTGGAATTTGAGGTCATAATGCATACTCTTTGTTTGTCCGTTTCCATAAAAAGCACAGCTGGGACTCTGTGTTCCTCTCGTAGATGACCTCTCACTGAACCTGGTTCTGCAAGGAGTCATTAAAGGAAGTCATTTCCTTCCGCAGTCCCCAAATACTGTGGAAGAACTGCTGGTAAGTCAACAATTTTATGCTGTTAGGATTTCTAAAAGCTTCTTACAAGAACAACTGTATGATCTTAACTGACTACACAATTTGATCATTTTTATAATTAATTTGAGTTTGATATATTTCTGGACAGAACAGGATTTTATCAAACTGAATATGGTTTGCACATTAAAAGACGCCTCAATATTACAATAGATGTTGTATAACTAAACTCGAATCAAATAAATAAATATGGAAGCTAATATGAGAATTAGAGGAACCAATATGTTCACTCGTGCTCTATTTGATTGCATTGTATTTGCTTGGCTGTAAGTGCAGCGGCCTACGTGTTTATCTTCATACAAACTTGGTAAAGTGAGTTTCCATCACAAATGGTCCCTGCCGTCAAACATCATACAATGCAATTTAAGACATAAACTTTCCCAACATCTCTGTATTAAAATAGCTGTAATTAATCTGTTTGACTGTAAAGACTTACAGTATCTTTTAAATGTGGGTTTCCTCCATTCATTAAGAGCAGCTTGAGATTTTGGTAGCATCCCCAAAGAGCAGCAACATGAAGAGGAGTCAAGCCATCAGAAGATCTAAGAGAAATACAGGTAAGAAATCAATGTGTGCTTCACGAGAATATATTCGTTTACAAGATTATAGGTGTAATTCAACTGTTATCTGTTAACTGGTAAAACAATATGTTTTAATTTCATGTATGAAACTATACCTGACATTGGGGTCGGATCCATGCTGCAGCAACATTTTCAAGCAGCGTATGTTCTTCTCTGTTTCCTTGCCGACAGCCAGGTGTATTGCAGCCACACCTCCACTACCCACCAGGTTTGGGTTTGCACCCTTGGAAAGGAACAGCTGTACAGATCTGCAAAGCAATTAATGTATTAATTTAATGATATATCACATTCAAAACATGACCATAAACATTCTATTTATCCAAAACGTGTGCATCTTCCCACAAAGCAGAACAAAGAAAAATATTAAAAGCTTCTCATTTAAACATACAATAGGTACATGTAGGTGTTTGGCTTGTTATGGGTGCCTTCTCTCTGGCAAATTATCTAAGAAAACTAAAAAGATTCCAAAGACAAATAACAGTTTTGCATTAACACCTCCTTGCATCATCAACTTTGAAAAACAAAACATGCTATTTAAAATAGTAATCCAGAACTGATTGACAAATAGTAAAAGATATGATGCATTTACCAAAACAGTGTTTATTATATGGAAGCACGCCCTTGATGATTAACGTTTATTCAACTGCACAATCATCACTTATTACGATACAATTATTTCAGCCACAGCATGTGGACATCTACTGTTTTATTACAGGTCAAAGGACTCCGATCAAACTTCACATATAAAAGAATGCCGATCACTTAACTAAAATTGTTAAAGAGGTGTTCATAATTGAACAACTCGAAAATACAATCCAGCATCCCAAATGTCGTTGTCTGCCACGTCTCTTTCAACTCAGGACATGCCCGAACAAAACAAAGAAAAGCCTGGATACGTGTTAACAACCTGGGATCTCCGTCGTTCACCGCGACGCACAACTGACTTGCCAGCCTCTCGTTGTTGCAATCCATGACGACCGATGTTTGTTTGCACAACACTGCACTCTGCTATTTGCAAAATCTTTCTGCTTAGCTCATGGTGAAAACCGAGGAAAACTTTCAACCAAAATTTAGCTTATAGGGCTAATTCTGCAGACACGACTCCACTTTGCGTACACATGTTCGGCTAAGTAATGCATTTAGCTAAAAAAATAATAGGCGATTCATTTAATCGTCTATTATTTAGCTAAAATGTTTACGAAGCTGTGTAGTCCTAAATCATGTTGAATTTAAATCCGACACCCAGAACAGGAAAAGCTGCGTTTATTGTTTTGATGGTTAAAGTTCCCTCCAAGCAAGAAGGCGGAAGACCCGCCCATGGGCTCTTCTGATTGGACAACTTGTCAACAGCGTCATCAGCTGTTGATAAACTGATGAGCTTCTTCAAAAAAGAAGCTCTGGTTTCCATCTCCATAGACATAGTTTAATGCACTGCAACAACTAGAATTAATTGGAATGTTTGACTGAAGTGACTTTTTGGTAAGTTCCTCAAAATTACATTTGTTGTTGTCAACTGGTGCCTTACAAATAAACTGAATTGAATTGAACTAATAAAAAGATTTGCAGCAAAATAGCAAAACAAATAGGAAAAACTGACTAGGTGAATTATATTTAGTGAGTTTGGTTGATGTCACAGAGTTTTTAAAATGAGTTTTGATGTTATATATTTACACATAAAGGTTGCTATAATGCTGTTATTCTTCCTAAACATTGGAATTTCAGCCAAAACTATTGCAACATAATTTATTTGTATATGTTGTATTGCAAATTTTAAAGCTTCCTTTCATTTGAGATGGGCGCTTATAATTCACCAACTTTCATGGGTCTTCAACTTGAGCATAATTTCTACAACTGTGTCAGAATACAAGTTTTCATACACATATAAAAATCTAGAATATAATTAAACATAAGAAGTGCAGTTAGCAATAAAACCTGCCAAATAACAGTAGAAAACATCAGCAATTTTAAACCCACATACATAAAGTTTAACTTTAACAGTTTTAATTTTATTTTCATTTTATGTTTATTCATGAAGGTAGAGCATATTTTAAACAAGCCGATAGCCCAACACAAAAACCAAGTAAATAATTTTAAATAGAATTTTAAAAGAATCACAGTCATATTTTAGATACAAATGTTTAAGAAAGCGTTCAGATTCACAGGTTCCATATTCAGCATTATTGGAAATACTTTTTCAGCTCAAATGTTGAACAAAGATGCCTTACGACGAATGGCTACATATGTCTTAGCACATTGAAATGCAATACAATAATAATTTATATTTCAACCAAAATAAAAGATTGTGGATTAATTCCAACATCTTAATGAATCCTGTTGGGACTGTGATATCAGGCAGGGCACAGGGCAGCCAGCAAGCCCATCAGAACAAGAAGTAGGCTAGAGTGAATTCTTCCACTGTGGTCTTCAAGTAGTTGGCAATCATTATAGGGCTCTATGCAGGCAGCATAAGCCATGACATGTGGAATGTAGTTCTGTTCCTGAACTCCGTGGAAAAGGTGAGACATTGGTCCTTTGGCAAAGATGGCCACGTCTTCTATACCATGGGTCTCTGAATCGAGAGGGACTGTAGTCTGCTGTTTGTAGTCATTTGTTGCTGTGAGAGAAATGGAAAGGACTGCATTATGTTTAAATTTTCTCACACAGAATTGGCAAACCTGTCGTTGTGTGTGTGAATGTTTGAAGCCTCAAAAAACAGTAAAACATTATCTGACTGTGAAAAACATGACCATAAATCATCATTATGTGTATCTTAAGACTTGACCTGACTGAAATGTTTACTTGAGTTTCCGAGTAATGATGATATTACTCGAAACAACTGAACTGACACAAAAGCTGAACATACAGGTGACAAGGCGAGCTTTACTGGAAATAAGAAAACTTAAATTTTTGCACTTTAAATTGGTAGAAGAACACTTAATTTTTCTTTTAGTACAGATTGTCTTTAACATGTTGGCTAGACAAATAGTAAATGGGTTGTTTTGGTAAAGTAATTCATCAAGCCCCGTGGACTCCAAAGCACTTAATTAATTCACACACACATTCACGTTACTGGTTTTATTAAACCAACAACATAAAATGGACTCTTGTTTTCATGTTGTGTATGTGTAGTATGTAAAATGTAACATGTCAGTCTACTAGGTGAAGTTACTGGCTTTTTTACAAAAATCAGCATGTACTTACATGAAATTGATTCATTCATATCAGGGCGAGTTCCATTGACTATCTGATATCCTGGTCCATTGCCATAAATTGCAGTGGTAAAATGCTTGTTGTCCAAGGCCAAGTGACGAGAAACTCCTGTGGATTGCAGAACACATCAGTGTTTTGTTTAAAAATACTAATTTAGACAACATTATGGTACTTCAACTTTGATGTGATAAGTTATTTTCTCATCCTATATCTTACCCACAACAGAGTTTCCTCTTGCAGAATATCCTCCAAAAGCAAAGACATGGGAGTGGTCAGCAGTGACTACAGTCAGCGTGTCCATTTCATTGGTGAGTTCTGCTGCTCGCCCGATTGCACGGTCAAACTCTACAGCTTCGTGGAGAGCTTTTTTAGCCTGAGTGCCATGATGAGCATGATCAATTCTCCCCCTTAAAGTTCAAGAGAAGCACACTGACACATAACCATGACAATCCCATTTGTTTGTAATTTTTTTAAAAAAAGATTTTTGGGCCTTTATTGATAGTTATAAAACAGAGAGTGAAAGGGGAAAACACGTCACAAATGTCTAAAGGTTGGGAAACAAACCCAGGACGGCCTATGGTCTTTGTATGGGGACATTTTCAGAAGTTTTGGGGATGGACACTGATTATTGCAGAGAGTGGTGTTTACTGCAGATCAATCATTAACTCATTATGTTTTAACAGAATATAATGAGTTAATGATCATTAATTTATTAATAAGATATTAATCACTCCTTAATGAGTTAATAATCATTCACTAACTTATTGAAATTAGCTGTTAAATGATAGCTAATTTAAAACCAGCTAATGCCACTCATAGAATCATTTGTGTTTACAGGTTAAAAGGCAGATTATTTAATATTATGTTTATTAAAAACAAAATGAGATATTATATTAATAATAAGGGTCATTGACACATAAATCTAAGCAACAATCTATACAATTATACAAACTTCAAAAGCAATACAAAGATAAAAGGTTTTTGAATTTTGGGTGTGTATCATTGTACTTATCTTCCACAAACAGGAAATATCCTTTTGGGTTCTTTTGGAGAATCTTGATTGCCTTTTCTGTCATCTCTGTTAGCGAAGGGTCCATAGATGTATCCCGCTCCAGCTCATACCGACAGTCTTTGGGTTCAAACAAACCTTCGAGAGAAGACATTTTTAAAAATATAATTCAAAGCTAAATATGCTGGATCATAAACTTTTAAGTAAAATAAGTTATTGCTTTTTTTCTCCATGTAACCTGATGAACACCCATAACTATGCCAAACTCTTTTCCCTTCCAGGAGGACAACCATCTCTGCAGCAATCCACCAACCAGGCCTGCGCGGTACAATGGCTAGACGAGAGCCACTTCTTCATAAAAATCACTTGGCTGCCTGTCTTTAGGTTGCCAGACAGGCTATCTGGAGGCACTTAAATGACTCCCAGACCACAAGAAACTAAAGTCTGGTCTTATGAGACAAAGATTGAACTATTTGGTGTGAATGCCAGGCATAATGTTTGGAGGAAACCAGACTTGGCTCATCATAAGGCTAATAACACCCCTACATTGAAGTATGGTAATACCAGCATAATGCTATGGAAATGTTTGGCAGTAGTGGGAACTAGCAGCCCTATCATGGTCAAATCAGACTTCAGACTTGAATCAAATTTCAAGAGAGATCTGAAAATGGCTGTTTAGATATCCTCAACCTAACAAAACTAGCCAGAGAAAACATTTAAGAAAGTCATGCTGCTATTTGATTTTGTTTTAGAGTGCTTAATAAGAACTTACCGAGAAGGAAGTTTGTTTTTCGAGGATCGACAGCGTCAAACTCTTTTTTATTCCAAACATATTTAGCATTCTGCAAGTTGAAATAGCAAACATATAGGTACAATTTGAAATAACATAAGATGATGTAAAGGATCCAAATATATTTACACTACATTAGAACACCATACTTCAAATCAAATAATGTAGATGTAAAATATTAAATTTACCTCTTTGTTTTTAGCCCATTCAACAATAAGATTTTTTCCGTCTTTCCGTTTTCCAGTTTCAGATGGGTATTCAGGATCTACTATGTCTTTTGGAAGCATATACTGACGACCTCCACCCAGAATGACCTGCATTGAAGAAGATGACAAAGGTTATAGTCATTTTTAAAACTATTTAAAGAGTGTTTTTGCTGTTCTCAGTCTGATTTAATATTCTAATCTTCAATGTAATGTTTTTGCTTCTATAAATAGAAAATCCTTATGAATAACAGAAATTAAGGCTTGGAAACATTGTCTCTATGCAATACATCTATATAATGTTTCTTGAGGGACTGAATTAGTGACATAAATGAACTTTAAAAAAATTATAAATAAACTGAATTCAATTGATCTGATTTAAATAATACGAACATGAGTGAGGAAGGAGTCAAATACATGAAGTTTATTTATAAAGCATATGTCAAATTGCTGAAAGCTATGTTAACATTTGGTTTTGAAAACATTTACATTGCTATCCAACAAGGGTTATTGCAATTATTGACTCGATGGACATCATCATAAAGGACTGATTCATAAATTATGACTCACATCTATCTCTGTGTTGTGAACCAGTTGATAAGCAATGTCATGACAGCCATTTTGGACAGCTTCCTCAGAGAGGTCAGAGTCAGAATACCAATCTCTGTCTGCAGAGTGAGCGTAGCTCGCAGCAGGGGAAGCATGTTGCACTCTTGTTGTTGTGACAATTCCAACAGATTTTCCTAAAACAAAGATAGTGGTTATCAGACTTTTGTAACAACATTTTGCCAACATTAATCTACAGGGTGATTAATTTGCTTAAGTGCTTTTATTCTGCCTCACACATATAATAACAGTAATTTTCTTGTCAAATAGATATGGTGACCAAACTTTGTAGAAAATTGTGCCTACCTTCTTTCTTGGCACGGTGGAGAATTGATGTGACTTCATTGCCGAAAGAAGCTTTACAGTCACCCAGTGGAGTGGCAGCAGAGACTCCAAGGGTCCCATAGTTGGCTTTTACCCCACATAAGTATGCCGTCGCCGTGCCAGCACTATCTGGCATCTGCTGGTCTACGTTATATGTCTGCAGGAATCAAATATCGGAGAAAAACACTGTGGAATAAATATGTTTTAGAAGTACAATGAAATGTACAAAGAATCAGATTCAAATAATTTTGGATTTCCTAATATGTAATATGAAGACATTACTTTTTCAATAAAAAAGCAGTCAAAAATAACCGTTAGTTATGTAGTTTGATGCAGAAAATATTAGAAAAGGGGGACTGCAATCACCATCACCCTAAATGTAGATCAGACTCTTATGTGATAATATGTTGTGTTTGTTTGGCAATATTTTTTTACAAGTTGTCTACTATGCACTTGATTAAGACAACAGAAGGTCCAGGAATTCTCCTGAAATCATAATGTCAAATTTGGAGTGTGTATTATATAGGATACTGCTACAGAGCACACCAAGTAAAACAATTAAAAAATGGGATGTATAGTAACACTATCCCCAGCAAACTACCATCAAAATATTAATATAGTAACCTTATGAATTTCTGACAGTTTAAAAGGCTATATTTCCTTTATTCATGGAAAAAGATTATTTTCAAATTTTAAAAGATGTGAAGATAATTTCTGTTGAGTTCTATTCTTCTGTCTAGTCCTTGCGCTTTTTCAGTCAAAAGTAATGCTTATTATTAGCTAAGGGTTAGGTTTCCCTATTAAATAATGTTTCTTTTTTTATATTTGATACATCTCCTGAGCAGTCAAAATGTGCTGTCAAAGAGTGCTGACCTTAGACAGTGCCAGGTGAGGGAATGTATCCATAACCAAACGTCCCTCCTCTCCTGAATGTCCTTCCAGCTGACCTTTGAGGATCCGGGCAGCTGTCACTGTTGGCATTCCCATTCCTAAAAGCAGAATCAAATGCCACAAGGTTAACATTGTACTTTGTGAACCTCATAAGACTTAGCTGATTTACATGACAATGAAAGAATCCATCACAGACCGTGGGACGTGTGTGAAGTATGAAATCCACCATTATTAATTATTCTTTCAAAACTGCAAACCTTATTATATCAACATAAACTAATGACTTGTCCAACAGTTGAACTCCAAAAATTGACTCACAATGGGCTAAATATTAACAATTCTTTTTATCTACATTTCAAATGTACAATGAAATACTGGACCCTTCTTCTGATACAGTTTTGTCATCTGATAATTTACAAGAGCTTACAACGTGATATGTTGTCATAAACATATCAAATTACAGAGTAATTAAGTGTTACTTATTAATCGCAAACGCTGATAAAGCCCTGAACATGAACACAATCAGCATGTTTTCCAGAAGGAAGTAGATTATGTTGTGATCAGAATTTTGTAATGCCGCTGTAACTTTGTAGTTTGTCCACAATCACGGTTCTGACCATGATATGATGATATGATATGATGTTGATTGAAATCCAGTTCTACATAACCAGAAAGGGCAGACCATTTCCTTATAGATGTCTTTAGTAATGTTTAACAGCAAATTGTTACTCATTAGAGAAACCCGATTGAGTGTCACATCATCTGAGCATGGTGGACTTCTCACCATGCTCAGATCACTATGCAGCATTTTATGGCATCACTTTGTTTGCATTGCGTTTAGTTAAAGGCTAATGAAAAAGTGGTTTCCCAAATCATGTTCCCTCTGTTCTGTTAAACATTCCCTTCTACCTCAGAAAAACAAGATATTGAGGTTCATTGCATTTGTTTTGGGAAGTAAGGTAATTTTTTATTGGTCTGAAAAAATAAACTGAGGTAAAAGGAACAAAACCATATGATCCGGGAAAGGCTCTTTAATGGTAAAAAAGACTCACCGTCCCCCAGGAACAGGATGAGGTTTTTGGCGCGGTGCACATTAGGCTGAACATTCAGTGCAGTGTGAAGAGCTTGTTTCGCTTTGTTGTTCCAGTATTCAGGATGAAGCTCTTCCTCTATGATTAGTAAAAACACATCAGGATGTGACAAAAGTATTTCATTATAAAATAACAAATGGATAAGGATGAAGATTTAATCAAACTGATATTTCATTGAAAGAAATATTTAAAAAAGTAATAAAGCTAGAAGTCAAACATGACCTTGCAGAGTTATTACATGTAAATATGTCACATTCTTAGTATACAATTCTTTTTTAACTGAAAATCACTCTGTCATTGTATTAAACCATAAAACTGTTTGGTTTACCGATGTTTGATTTTCTTTGTGTTAATTACAAGTGTCATATTATATTTATTCAAGGTTTCCAAAATTTTTAAGAACTGTTCTTAGTTGAATATTTAATAGATTCTTACCGATAACGCACAAAGTCCTCTGAGTTGATGCAAATATTAATAGTCCAGCAAAAATGAGGTTGTGTGTCTTTGCCATTGTGTTGGCTGCAGGCAAATTTACAAACCTTTGCTTGTGAGTTAGCTCAACTCCCCTTTATACCTGCAGAAGGAACAAAGGGCACATGGACATACCAATGCGAGGTGGCAACAACAACACACCAACTCCTCCCAACGAACCCGATTTTGCAGGAAAATCCTTTTGTTATCAAATTCATCAAAAAGGTTTTGAGTTTTAAAAATGTGATATTGAAGTACCTGCTATTGCAATGTAACATAGTCAGTGCTTAGTGAGTCTGTGCAGAAAGAAGATTTTATTTTAACAGTTTATTACTGGGTAGTTTTATCAATCCATTTTGCCAAAATATGGCCATTTTAGGGCAATTCTGGTCTTAATGTGGCCCGAAATAAAAAAGAGTATGCATAAATGTTTGTGTTTTGTTACAGTTTACTTCATTGGCAGTTATACCTGTCCTATCTCTCACTGAGCGAGGGAGCCAGGTAAGAGAAACCCTGGAAGGAAAAAGCAAACATCTAAAATGGAACAATAAATATTGTGCTGTACTGCTGTGTATGTGGAAATAGTTTGTAGTTCATTCAGTTTTCTCCATTCTGGTACAATATTCTGCAAACAATTCTATATACCACAAAATAAATGTATACATATGTATGCACACAAATGGGGCTGCTAAGATGGGGGATTAGAAGGCAGACTAAAGATTTTAGTACTTAAATTCTCTTCTGTCTAGTTCAAGGGGATGGATTTGTTGTTTGTTTTTCTCTGTCTATCCATTAAAAATAGCTTAGATTTAAATCCTTTATAACCATTTGTTGCGCAAAGAAGGAGACCCACTTGTTCTCTAGTACAATGTTTTTAAAAGTGAGGGCCACCAGGGGGCATTATGGGAGTTTCAGAGAATTGGACGGAAGAAGGGCAAAAATGGAAAAAACAAACAAACAAAAAAAACAAAGTGAACGTTTAAATCTGAAATTTTATTTTATATATATATATATGGTATTTATTGACCATAGGAGTCCAACGTACCAAGCAAGATATCTTTTATATTGGCTCATTGAAGGTCATTTAATATTATAACGTACAATGACAGACAGAACAGCTCAAAGTTCAGGTTTATTTTACTCAATCAAGTCATTTTTTCCTTCAGTAAACGTGTTTATGCCAAGAGAGTCCAGATGTACCACAAAGGGCCCCCAGCTTGGTTGTTGGCTTCAAGTTATTCAGAGAAAATCTTATCCACAGAGTAAATTTTTATTTCATGTATATCCATGGCATAAAATAAAGAACTCTGAAAACATCCCACTAAATCATGAACGTACAAGTTAGTGCAAGTCTAAAGTCTCTTTGAAGTTGTCCATTGATCAACTGGAATGTTGGATGAGTTATTGAGTCTTTAATTGTCTCTCTTGAAAAACTGTTTCAGTTTACAAAGGAATAACACTTCATCTTTGCATATTTTCATGTGAAGAAGCTGTCAGTGCTCAACATTTTATTGCTATGCAGCTTAGATTAGTTAACACTTGCATGTTCAAACTTGCATTGTAAATCTCTTCCAAAACTCTAGTGTGTGTGGATCATTACCACATGATCAAAGGAGTTTGTGGTAATAAATACAGTACTGTCAGTGTTTATCCATGCACTCTGATTTTCCAGCCCATGCACAAAAATGGGCATCTTGGCATATATACCTGAAAACACTTAATCCATCGTCTTTCTTTTATTGCATGCAAATAATCGTAACAGTTTCAACGTATGTGTGTGGATGTAGGTCATCTTAAAAACCAGAGAAGGACAAGCATGTTCAACAAAAGGTCTAAATGTCTGTTCACACTTCCAGCTGAGAAAGTGCGAACAGACATGTGATGGTAAGGAGGGCAGTTTTTGTATGGCTCCAAACAGGCTGCATAAGCCATAACGTGTGCTACATAGTTCTGCTCCTTCACTCCATGAAACAGGTGAGCCATCGGACCTTTAGCGTAGATGGCTACGTCTTCTCCGCCGTGTGTCTCAGCATCCAATGGTACAGCGGCCTGTTGCATGTACTCTTCATCCACTGCAAGGAGACAAGTGCAAAATGCTAAATTATCTCAGATGTTAAAATGAATTTAATTCAATATTGCTATTAGTGACCATTACATAAAAACCAGCAAACAGCATTTTGTAATATAAATATTGAACACATCCAATTTTTTTCTCCCTAAATGTACTCATATTTGCCATATTGGCATGAAATTCACACCATATTCCATATCCAAGAAATCAACAAAAATCAGTTAATAAATAGGTCAGTAAAATAATCTGGAGTGAAGAAATAACAATTAAACAGAAAATAATATGCATAAAAAACATAGAAAATCAAGACAGTAGTTAGTTCTTTGTATTCTGAAAGTAAAACTATTCATTATCAGTGCAAATTTATAACCTGTTATTTTAGTCCTAAATGATGACCAATGTTTGAGTGTTTCAAAGAGTCCTAATAAGCTTTTTTATAAAAACAATAACTAATGCACTCAACTGAAAGAAATTCTATATAGACTCACGATGCAAAACTCCACTTCTGAAGATAAAGTGTGTTGAGACTTGTAAAAAGTTTTCTATACAGCTTTCAAACAAGCCAGTCAAATATTAAGAAGATATAGTCTGGCCATATTAGAGCCAAATCTGTGCTCTTAAAATATCACTGCTTCAAACGTGAAGTGTGAAGATGTGAACATCATGATGTGGGGCTCAGTTTTAGCACATTACTAATACAAATCTGGAAGAAGTATATTTCAACTACCAGTGATAGTAAGGTAAAGAAACTCAAGGTAAAAAAAAAAAAAAAAACACACAGCTGTCTAATCAATCAATTTAGTAAAATCCAACTTAAAAAATATGTGGTAAAAACTAAATAGAGTGTATATCAGAGCTCACCAGAACTACAAGATTTTAATGTCTTAACAAATACAGTAGTTTCTCTATACAAGACATTTTGACATTGACATTGTGGAAAAACTGTTTGTGTAACCGTCTTGTGTTGTGACTGACTCCTTGTGTGAATTTCATGTCAATAACAGAATTAGAAATACATTATTAAAACAATAATGTTCATGTCTTTAACACTTTTTCCCAATGTTCCTCACAATATGAAATAAAATATAACTGAAAACTGAGTTGTTACAATTTTTTTTATTTGTTGTTTCTGCTTTTGCACTAGTACTATAATTATCTTTGCCTCATACATTTTTTTGTAGTTTGGCCCATAAGATAGGGTTCCAAAGCTTCCACAATTTACTCAAACAAAACTAATTACAGCTTTCCAAAGCCCAAGAAGATAACTGAAGTTTCTTTGATGGAGAACACAGAAATAGTGCCTGACCTTTAAAATACAAGGAGCACATTTTGGACAGGAAGAGAGATAAAGTATTTTAAACTTATTATGATTAAAAATACTGCAATCTTTTCTTCACTTCAGATAAAGTCTTTTTTTCTGTAAGGTGGCACAGATGTTTGGAAAAGCATGCTGGTGCCCTTTTCTTTCTTGTTGCTTTGTAATTTCACTGCATTGCTGTGGATAAAAGCATCAAAGTGCACATGTACTTCTTTTGCAATGCTTCCTGCCTCTCCAGATGGATGCATTTTAAAATCAAATTCCATATGGAGTTGGGTTCAGTGTATAGCTATTAGACATGAAAACTTGTTCCAAAAAGTTATACTGGTCCATTTAGAAATGGTGAGCAAAAAAGAGGGCAATAAAAGATATTCCATGCAATAACTGAAAATGCATGTGTATTTCCATCCTTTTCAACGTGTCACAAAGACATGGAAATATAGTTTAAAAGTTCAGTTACATAAATGCAAAGGGTTATGCAGAAAAAAGAAAACACATCACAATGAAATGAATGCATTATGTTTCATCTTTGTTTTTCAGACAAACTCAGGCATGAGTCAGCCATAACCACATCAGTTAAAATTGTCTGTACACAGATCAGTAGAGACAAGCAGCTGCATCTGAAAACCATTAGCCTGGACTCACAGTAATCCACCATTGTGATGTTCCCTCTGGTTCCATTTACATGCACATAACCCGGGCCATTGGCATAAAGGATGCTGGTAAAAGGCATTTCGTCATCTGCTTTCTTTGGCGCCAGACCTGAATCATTGCATGGGAAAGTGAATAATGTTTGTCATGTAAGGTATTCCTCGATACTTACATACGCTTTGACGTCATATTGAAAGCAGATTACAGTGAACTTAAATAACCTTTACCCAGGACTTTCTAGAGCTAAGAAACCTAAGAGTAGGTCAACATTTTCTAGTCTTCAGATGGTCTTACATGTTTATACTTTCACTCAACTTTTAGTATGAACAGCATTAAAGTAGCTATTCTTGGAATCATACCAAAAATGGGGTTTCCTCGAGGTGTGTTACCACCAAAGGTAAAGACATGAGAGTGGTCTGCAGTTACAACTGTCAGCGTGTCAGACTCTCTGGTGATTTGAGCTGCCCGTTCAATTGCGCGATCAAATATCTCAGCTTCAGTCAGTGCCAGTTTTGCAATGCCATCATGGTGTCCATGGTCAATTCTCCCTCGTAATACAGCACAGAAAAGACAAAGTTCAACAACTGCACATGATCATGCACAATCAAGATTCTGTGTTATTTCAGGTACAACATTGAAAATGAGTGTTTTCTAGTGCTCTTGTTTTGATTTTATAGTCAACAACAATCCCATGATACTCATCTTCCACAAACAAGAAGTATCCTTTTGGATTCTTCTTGAGGATTTGAATTGCTTTTTCAGTCATCTCCACAATCGATGGGTCTCGTGTGGTATTCCGGAAAACATCAAATCTCATGTCCTTTGCTTCAAAAAGACCTAGACCCAAAATAAAAGAGTGTGAAATCTCAGCATTATGAGGTTTACAGTTGGAGACAGTAAAGACTCAGCTCTGCTTAGAAGCTGTGAACAGAAAGGCCACTGGAAAAAAACAAACATTCAAAATAGGACCAATGAGAAAGTTCAAGAGTCTGAACTCCTCACATGTCAGAGGACAACATGACAGTAAGATAATAAAGACGATGTACTCTTGGTAGCTGCACCTGGATTAGTGTTACATGCATCATCACTGCAAGAAATGCACCCTTGAGTCTTTATCTCCATAGATGGACCCGATAATGCTTGTTAAAAGTAAATTTACACACAACACATGACTGTTTTAAATGGCTGTAAAGATAAAAGGCAATACCCAGAGATAAAGATGTTATATATTGCTTGTACACCCACCCATAAGACGATCTGTAGTTTTCACATTTATCTCATCAAACTCCTTCTTATGCCAAACATACAGTGATTTCTTGTTCTGAAAAATAAATACATGGTCCATAGTAACGTACATGTTAGTAGCAGAAGTGCATAAAATGATAGATAATATATCAAGCTAATGCTCATTAATCCTACCGGTTTAGCATTCAACCACACATCTATAAGGTTTTTCTTGTCTTTGCGGGTTCCCTTACGAGAAGAGGAGGTAGGATACTCAGGGTCAGGAGTGCCTTTTGGCGTCATGTACATCCTTCCTCCCCCAAGAATCACCTTTAAGAAAATCACAAGGCACTTTTTAAAGAATTTATCTGTAGAGCTTCAAGAAATACATGGTGTACAACATGCAACATGTAAAAGTTCTAAGTTAGAATCTTTTCAGTCTAAACATCTACAGGATGAAGTAGAAATTATTTGGCAAGCTATGTCAAGGAAAGGAGTAGCTTCAGGAAATAAAAAGTATAATTCATTTTTAATATTTATGTAGAAGGTAGTTATAGCCATCCACATGCGTGTGATTCCAAATATTGACCCAGGGTTTTGCTTAAGGTATTTATTAAAGGATCCGCATTGAAGTAATTGACTGCTCTCAACTTTTAGTAATCTTACAATATTTGCTGTAAAATGTTGCTTTTGAATAAATCAGTTTGTTAGCATGTCTGTTGTTTGAAGTATTTTAAAGCTGAAAATGAAATAAAAAGATTCAGTGAAAGCAATTCAGTCACAACTTGCTAGCATAGATGTTTTCACAAGAAGACAATAAAAGAGTATTATGGCTGAACCCCTTAAAGCTACACAGATAACTAATGCAAATAGGTAAAGCAACATGAAACATTTACAAATAGACTGATTTGAATCACCAACGCATCATTGTGATTAATTGCCTTTTGCAGTTTCAGTCACCATAAGTCCTTCCATTTAAAAATAATATTGCAGATACAGTAATACCTGAACTGGAGGAAAAAAATAACCATTACCTGCTGCTAATTTTATTTAATGTGACTGTTATTGACTTAACACAAGCTTTTGGAGTTCAGAGGTTTGCCTGATGTCTCTACATAGCCTCATGGCACAGTCTATAGATTTCACATTGTCTAAAAATGAACTCTGCCACATGCTCAGCAGTTCCTATACGTAACCAATGTTACCATAATCAGACTCGGAATATCTTGGAAGATAATAAGCTGTTCTTTCATACATCAATGTCAAAGTTGGTGACCAGTTGGGTAGCAATATCCACGCATCCATGTTTTTTAGCACTGGAAGGAAGTTCTGCGTCGCTGTACCAGCTGCGGCTGACAGAGTGGGCATAGGCTGCAGCTGGTGAGGCATGCTGAACACGTGTGGTGGTCACAATACCCACTGATTTACCTGTGCAACCCAGAGACACACTCAAATCAGAACTACATCTGTTTTTTGTTTTTTATATAAATGAACAAAATTACCAACACAAAAGTGGACCAGTGCAGCTATTTCTTTACAATGCTTAAAACCAGAAGTGACACCACATGCTTATCAGATGATTGTTTTACTCCAAACATTTCTCATCTTAGGTAAGTTAATCTGTATCTTGAGATAAGCGTGCAGTTTAAACTGTTTGAAAGTTCCCTGATGCAGCACACCCACTATTGTCAGTGAGCCACTGTATTTACCTTCGGCTTTTGCACGTCGTAGTACTGAGTAGACCTCATTTCCAAAAGTAGTGTTGCACTCATAGGCCACTGCTTTGGCACTGAGTCCAACTGTCTTGGCGTTGGCCTTCACCCCACAGTGATAGGCCGTGGCCGTGCTGGCGCTGTCTGCAACCTGCTTATCCACACTGTAGGTCTTCAGAAACAGAACACAATTGTACAAAGAAATGGAAAGTGGACATGGTCTAAAAGTACACCCTTGTATGATTTATCGACATTTTGAACATGCATTCATTGTTTTCCAATTCCCTTTTTTTAAATTTTATATTAACCTTAATTTCACCAGAAAAATCAATTGAGATTTTAATTTCGAGTTTACTCATGCTAATGGTGTTAGCTCTAGCTATTATAGTCATAAAAGCAGATTACAAGCCGGTCATGTTTGTTTGATCAGATATCTCATTTAAAACGACACATGAAACCTTTGAGGCTGTTTTATGGTTGTGAGTTGCCCTCGTCAACCTCCTCCTCCTCTCCTTCTAGACTTGAACCACACTTTAACATAACGGCGTCATCTGCCTGGCATGCATTGTGCAGGTAAAAAAAATGGTAACCTGCTTATATGAAAAATATAATGAAGATATACAATCTTTGCTGTAAAAGATTGTGAGATTTCACCCAGAAAACAGCACCACTTTTAGGTCAATAAGTAAATTCTAAGATACTAAGGCCAACATGCCTAACTAGTCATAGATCCCTTTAAATGGATCCCTTCCATTTTAAAGTACGGTACTTTACAAGTAGCTGCAACACATAGCGTGAATTTGCACTAAATATTTTGAAATGTTCAGGATAAGTTTTCGGAAATACAGATCTTTTTGCTTTACTTTAAAGAAGATTCAGAAAAATATGCAAGTAATACAATGCAACATAAGCAATAGCAGGACCTTGGCTTGACACCAGAGTCTCACAATAATCAAATGTTACTTCTTGGTAAAGAGCTCCAAGGTAGAGTAAATAAAAAAATATGTATACTTATCCCAAACAAAGATTTAATCCATCTTGATTGTGGGTTGAGACAGAAAACTACAATTAATAAATACTCAACCTCTCCATAATGCTCAAGTTACAATAATTTAGGGATTAAGTTTGCCCAGAAAGCGATGTGAGACCCAGAATTTGTGATCACTACTTACAGCCTATTATCAGCATTTTAATTAAAGGGTGAATTAACAAAATCCTTTAAATCTCTTTCAGTTTTGTGGTTTAAGAACTTACGTAGCAGTGCATGCTCATTAAAAGACAAGATGCAACATGCTGTTGGAAAGCCAAGTGCCACTTCTGTTTTTCATCTTCTCTCTCTTTATTCATAATGAACAGTGCAATTTTACTAAGCAGCCAAAACTAAGTTGGAAGATTTAAATGCATGCATGTGTGTGCTTAAAATTTAGCACAGCTCTCTCCTCACAGTCTCATGCTCCAAGTGTGTCTGTGGTGTTAAATAAGGTAAATTACTTCAGATTTTCCACTTGCGAAGCTAAAGTTTTACCATTTCTTTTCTGTGAAAGTGATTAGTATTCTATTAAGGAGTTTGCTGGCTAAAGCAAATCTGAATAAATAAGCAAGTATGCTCACCTTTATTTTGTCATTTTAAACTAAGCAACCTTGCGGTTTTCTTGAGCTGTTTCAGAGGAGAGGGAAATGGGAACACTAATGAAGCAGTAACTCTGGAAATGTTGTGAGATTTTCCAGCCAGCTCACAAGAAATACCTCTGGACAATGAGGAGATGTGAAAAACATTATGCATTTAACTGCATAATGTTCCACTGTGCAGTTAAATGTGTATTGGTAGGAATCATGACTTTACTTATATTTATGCTGTACTGTAAGTCCTTTTCCACTTGGAATAGTAATAGTAAAGGTAAATTCCTGGCAAACTGCTAAGCACCTTAAATAAATATACTTTTAACTAACTTTTTTTGGCTGATAAATGTGAATAAGTGAAAAATGGCTATACAGCAGCAAGAATAAAAGATTCTTACTGCTTTAATGGCTTCCTTGGGAGCTAATGAACAGTGTGTTTTGAAAGGAAATACAAGAGTTCTTTGCTATTGGAAATTTTAAGGAAACTCCTGATTATTTTAAACCACTGACATTTAATAAAAATAAGGACTAAGTGAGTGTGGATAACCAACTCAGGCAATTTCTTTCCATCTCTCAACCAAACTACCAAAGCGTCTACAAATATTTAGAAAAAAATACTTTTGACATTATTTTTGGAAGAGCTGTAGTTTCAGTAACCATCTCACAAAATACTATAATTATTAGAGAGGGAACGAGTCGGGCAGTCTTTGCCTAAATCCGTCATAATGACTCATTCCATCTTTTTGTCACAACTCCTCAAAGAATTCAATGTGTTCCAAAAGGTCAAATCAAATTCAGTAGACTGAGATGCACTACAATGAGAGATGCAAAACAAACAGTTTTAAGATTATGTCAGGACTAAAGTCAAGCTGTGCTTGAAATTTGAAAACCAGAGGGAAAAAAAACATATGAAATAAGTATTGTCATTATTGGAGCAGATCGTGGTACATATACACTCTAGATTTACTTTTAAGATGAAACCAGAATTTCAGCCAGCCAAAAGCAGATTAACAAAAGCTAACCGAATCATGCCCTAAAAGTAGTTCCTTTCTTTTACAAATTGGTGTGCCAACTTACTTACAAATATTAAAGCTTGGTCATAACACCTACTAAGAATATCTTAAAATGAGAATTTTAAGATATTTTAATCATTTCTATGTCAGCAGTTCCACTTTGTGTCACTACCTTAGAGAGGGCAACATATGGGAAGGTGTCCATGGCCAGCACCGTTTCTTCTCCAGACCTGCCCTCATTCTGACCTCGCAGGATACGTGCTGCTGAAACTGTAGACACACCCATCCCTGCCGAAGGATGACAGACAAATAAAGTTCACTTTTATGTCCCATCTGCTTTTCTCATCTTAGTTATCTCAAAGCAATTACATAATTAATCACATATTTTGTCAGCAATGCTTCACATATCTGTATTCACCACCCTTTGACATTCCATAAACTCACAGCACATATTGTGCAGATTATCTGCCACCAGTTTGATAATATAAAACATTTAATCACAAGTTTATGCCACTACCTTTGTAAATGCTTTGTTAGTTTGTGTGAATACTAAAAATATTATGAAGATATAGATCCATAAAGAAAACATGCATCTAGCAAAATCAAAATTTAGCTTAAAAAAGTCTTTGCAGGTCAAAATAGCACTCTGTTGTGATGGAACTAATATTCCCTTAGTGAATTATGTGAACAGTTAAGGGATTTGCTCTATCTTTGCCCCTTTAAAAAAACTAATCCTAGATGAGTTAAGGCAGCTGCAGCAAATTTAACTAAAAAATCAGAGTCGTAAAACTTGGAACAGGCTCTGGGCACAGCAGACAGGGGAGATGCACAAAGAAAACTGAACGCGACCACCCAGAAATGTGACTGAGTTTGATTTAAAACAGATACAGCAACAGTTAACTGGAAAACTGTTCTTTAATCCATGTGCTTTTAAACAGCTTCTCCTGCAAAGATGAATTTAATGCCTTGTCGACTGTAAATATAAACACACAATAAGAATTTCTATCCAATCCAGATGTAAATGGTCTCCTTTTCACTGTAGCTGTCTGTACTTGGAGCGCCAGAAGACAAGGCTAACATGTCAGCACTGACTGTAGAAGTCAGCAAACACAACACAAAGGTGTCCTTTCAAGTTGGAAGATATAAAACTTTACAATGCAATTTCATTTCAAACTCACTATGTTGATGGATCGTTCATGCACAGGCAAAAGCAGTTGGGGCCAATGCCATCATACTCTTTACTCTTTACAGCTAATCAGCAGTAAATGTAGCAATCAAAATGCAAATGTGGTATTCTGAACCTTTTCTCCATACTACTGCTATATGCTACATTCCTTGTAATCTTTGAAGTCCATTATGTATTTTGATCACAGTATGTTTTTTTTATTTTATTTTAGTGTGTTTTTTGGATGGATGGATGATGGATGGATGGATGGATGGATGGATGGATGGATGGATGGATGGATGGATGGATGGATGGATGGATGGATGGATGGATGGATGGATGGATGGATGAACGGACGGACAGACGGATTAATCTTGTCATCTTTTCTTGGAAAATATGTTTACACCTTTTTCAGGTGATCTAATAAATGAGCCAAAGCAAAGCTATCATGAGGTTTGTATGCATTGTATGCTTTTTGTAATGTTCTACGTTATGCTTACGTCAAACTTACGTTTTGGAATTGTGTCCAAAGGTTAAAATTTAGTTTTGTCGGGCCATAACATGTTCTACAACCGATTATTTTATTTGAAATTCCATGCTTCTGTACGGAGCTCTACTCCTTAGTTCAGACTTGAAGAATACTTGAAAAAACATCCAGTTTTTGTAGCGTCCTGGTAGTTCTCTATTATCTCCAGTTATTTAGAAAATCTTTATTCCACCATGGTACAAAACATTGCAGTGTCTTTTGTTTGTTTTTTGGGTCTTTCTCCTGATTGATACCTTAGCAGAATGACATTTTTTGACCTTTTGTAACCTCTCTGCTCTCCTTTATGGCTTTAGCTAAAATGTAACAATAAATAAATACTACATGGATAGCAGAACTATTCTGGTTTATCAGGATTATGATAATTAGTATGGAATTCAAAAAGATTGACTATTGAACATAATTTTAAAAAGTGTCTAAGCAAAGTATTACAGCTCTAGTTTCATCTTTTATCACTGTGCATTTTAAAATATTTTTTATTTAAACAAGTTTGTTTTTCAGTTGAGTCATGTATGACAAATATACTCTGTTTTATCACGGCCTCATTTTTCACTTAAAAAAATAAGAGCCCACTTAATGATTTAAAATATTGGGCAACGTAATGCAACTGTATCAGTTGCATTACCTTGCGCCATTATTTACCCGTTCTTTGAAAATTGAGGAGCGCTTTGCTGCAATTTCTAAATACATAATTTGTAGTCATCAAGAGAAAGTGCCATCTTTGTAGTCATCAAGAGAAAGTGCCATCACTATCTTGAGAAATGTCAAGTTTTATTACCTTCAGGCTGTGACAAAATTAAATTATCAGCACAAGAAGAGCTTTCAGTTGTGGTCAGAACTGTTTAACTGTAAGATGCCTCAATAACTGACCTGTAAACTATGATGACAGTGGTGTCCTCATTGATCCACTAACATGTAAGCATTTTGAGGTTAATGGGTTTTAAACAATATTTGACATGACATAATTTTCTTGGTTTTGAATAGTATAAATGCTTAGTTCAGATATCATAAATTAAGTATTAGTAAATGTTTATTAACACTGTTTTGCATACATCCACATAAAATGCATGTTGCCAGGGCAAAACAATATCTAATGAAATTGCCAGCAGTTTTGCACAAAACGATCATTTACCTACCATCACCAAGAAATAGAATGAGGTTTTTAGCCCGGTGTTGTCGAGGATGGAGCTTCAGCGCAGCATCCAGTGTTGCCTTTGCTTTTGAGTCCCAGTAGGAAGGGTCCTTCTCAAGTTCATGAAAGGCTGTTCAAAAAAAGAAACATTTTTAGAGGTTAAGAAATAAAAAAGGAGTGCAAGGACAGCATATGTGCATAAACATTTATTTGAGACATTTTCTGACTTGTTGATGTTTACTTTGCCCTAAGATAAACAAGAACAGGGTTTACACAGGGAATTAGCATAAACTGCCAACACAGTTAAAATCCTGTCCATTCATTCCCATTACGAAGCTTCAAGTCAGTGAAGTTAAAAAAGAACATTCATCCAGAAAATCTTTAGAACAACGGGCAGTCAAACAGAAGGTCCAACACTTTACATAAACAAACTGACACAGGCAAAAAATATCCCCACACAAGGTTTTGTTCATCTGCAGAGACTTTCCATGACACCCACACACCTGAGCCGTGACCATGCCTTCATGCAATTCTCAACAACAGGTCTGCCGTCACAAACCCACACTTTCCAGCTTGTGGTTACCTGCTTGTAGGCTCTCGTCTGCCCGCAAGCACCACCAATATCCTGACCCTGTCATCTTCTCACCTTGGCTGTCCATAGCGGCCAGGACTGCAGGCATCATGATGAGGCCCAAAAGTATAACTTGAAAATTGCTGGACCCGCAAAGTTCCATCAGCATCACTAATCCAACCTGGAGACTGAGAAAGAAGAAGCAACAAGACTAAAAGGCAGAGACTGTGTGTGGCTGCTGAGACCTCCGGCCCTCCTTTATAAGCCCCGCTGGGGTGTGTAACAAGGAAGGGCCTTTGCCAGCTCATAGGCTCATTGCCATGAAAAAAAGGGAGGAGGGGGTGAAATATAAGAGAAGGAGGAAGAGACAGAGGAGAGACAGAAAGAGAATTTGAAAAGTTAGGACCACACAAGGTTTGTGTGGCATTTAAGACCCTCGGCTCACACTGATTTCCAGAAATGCCCGGGCTCTGGTTCACTATTTTTGAGCATTGAATTAATTGTGGTTTTCCTACTTTCTCTGGTTTCTTGCTCTATGTATGATAGAGATCTGAATTATCTTCTGATGTGGTGAAAGTCCAAATATTCTAGAGTTCAGTAATCTAAATGACTGTAAAAGAAAAATTGGGCACCTAGTTTATGTTGGCATCCAGTGAGATATAAATCCTTGCTAGGCTCTTTCCATTACTTGCTCCGTCCCCATGAAAAGCAGTCTAAAGGAAGAAAGAGGAGAATGTCCAAGTTATTCTGGAGAATATCACAATGTACTCTGCTTTTAAGTCAGTCGGTCAGGTTTCCATTTCTCCCCCTCTTTGAATTCTTCTGCAATGTACGAGACCCCAATATTTTCCTCTTTCTAACTAATCTTGGCAGTTTTTTCTGTGGCAAGTGAAGCATTTTTCTTCTGTGAGGTAGTGGAGCTGACTTGCAAAAACAAAAACATCTTTTCTACACAAACACAGAAGTTAATTTATGAAATGAGGTGAGCTAGGTCAACCTTGTTTCACACAGTGATGGGGAATCAAATTCCCGGTAAACGCCTTTTTGCCTCGCGTACCCACAAGACTCAATCTTTGTTATGTTTCAGAACTCAGGAGGATCTTTGCTTTTCTCCAGTCAGTCATGTATTGCCAGAAGGGGTTTCAAGTCAGTCACATGTATCTAATCAAGGCTGCAATAAAATCATACAAGGAATCGGGCTGAAGAAACCACGTGACGTTGCCCACACAGCAGACGAACTGAAAATACCAGCAGCCGTGTGCAAAAACCGGAAAACCTGCACAGGCATGTTTGTCTGCTCATTTTGTTGTACAGCTCTGCTGTTGAGTGAGAAAATTGATTGTTTTGTCAGATTCATTTTTATGTATGACAAGTGTAAATACCTGGTGGTTATTTCTCATCTCAGTAATAAAAGCCACTGTGTCGTGCATTTTTTTGAGGAATACAGTTGAAAGTAAATATTTACGTAGAATTTTTAAATAAAAGCATAGTCATTGTTTCTTACTGTCTGAAAAATAAATAAGATATTTTTTTTGTTATTTATGTTCAGTAAGCATTGCCGATGTTACTTTTACTTGATAAATGCCATAATCACAACAGGTAGATTTTATTAGGAGACTGTTTTATTCCTTTTCATAAACTCAGATGTTTACACATCCACACGCACACACACACACACACAAAATATGTCTAGAAATACCCACCTGAACAAAGATATTTAATTTCTGGAAAAATGTCCTGTGAAGTGCCATATTGACCATTATGCAAAGTTAAGGAACAGCCTACAGATTGTAATGTTAGACTTATTTTTCAGATAAACAAAGGGGTTTTCCTCCTTGATTTAAGCCTTTTTGAAGTTTTCTGGAAGTTTGTTCCAAATTAGAGGAGCACAAAAACTGAAAACCGCTTATTTGTGTTTAGTTCTGATTTTGGGGTTGCAGACCAGACATAAACTAGAAGGCCTGAGTGGTCTGGGAGGAGCGACAACTGATCCTCAATGCATTTTGGTGCTAAGAAAGTTGCGATGCAAGGGGTTGGCAGCATAACGGGGACAGAATTTTGTTGCTGGAAAAACTGATGCACTTACCAAAAGAGATGGGCTCATGACTGAAAAATGTTTTGTGGAAATACTGGGGTAACATGTTAAGGCATCTGCCAAGAAGTAAAAGCTTGGCTGCAAATTGATGATGATCCAATCACCAGGTTCGATCCACTCATCCAATCACCTTAGACAACAAAGTCAATGATTTGGAGTGGTCTTCACAAAACCCTGATCTCAGTCCCAGACTGCATCTGTGGACAGAGCCGTGAAGGTGTGTGCAAGACAAATGCCCCACTAATTTGATCCAGTCACACCAGTTCTGTCATGAGAACTGGGCTCAAATGCCCACACTACTGGGGAAGTGTGTGGAAGGATATAAAATGTCTGGCCCAGGTCATACAGTTATGACCATCAAATGCTGAGGAAGAGCATGTCCACTTCTGACCAAAAATAGTGATCAAATAAATTTTCTTACTCTCTATTTTGACTTTGAGGAAATAGAAACGTTTTTGGTATTTTTTCATAAAATTAGAAAGGTTTAGTCTGAATTATAGTCAGACAGAGAAGTTATGTGTGTTTTTATACAGAGTGTGTAAACATCTGGTTTTAGCTGTGTACATAAAGCCTGAATGTTCACAATAGAAGCAGAAACAAAACCACTTTAGAAGATTTTGAAAAACTGAGCAAAACACCCACATAAGAAACAAAATGTGTAACACATTTTTGACATTGTTAAATTATTTTTGCGTTTGCTGTCTCCAAAGGATGAATGATTTTATAGCAAACACGGTGATTTGTTTGCACAAAGTAGTGGAGTAATGATTATTTAACTTGGCTTCTGGTGAAGACTGAGAGTATATTTATAGCGTAGCAGATGGTGACTTGTGTTCACTATTGACTGAGATCACAAATCAGCAGAAACTGGACAGAAGGGAGCTTTGCTCCAAACTGGGACTGGTTTAGGTAGGCTTCCTGTTCTTTACAGCACAAGCAGAAAATGTCCATATACATGAAAAATATCCACCCCAAAAGGGCAATTATTTTTCTGGCATGAGAACAGATGCTGACTGTTGCTGAAGCTGTGTTTTATATGATTACTAGATTATTTGTGTGCACATGACACCGAACCTTGAAGCAGATTTGAACCAACAGACTTGCCAAAACTGGAGAGTAACAGACAGAACAGAACCACCTTCTGACATTTGCTTTCAACAGGATAATGCACAAAAAGGCCAGATCACCTCAAACTGGTTTCTTGAATGAGCCTCCGTAGTCACTAGATTTCAAACCGGGAATGAACCTTTTGGATGAGTTGAAGCTGGAGATTTACATAAAAAATGTTCAGCCAACAAATCTGCAGCCACAAAGGCAGTTCAACTAACAAGCTTGCAAAGTGTGCCTAATAAAGTGACCTAGACAGACTAAGTAAAAGAAAAAGAAGCATTTTCAGGCTGATTTTTATGTAGAGTTGAGCATAAAATTCTGGAGTCATGTGTTTGCATTTTCAACTACAGCTTGCTGCCAATTTGACATTTTTTGTTAAATTCAACCAATAGTTTGTTACTGTGTTCTCAGAACTCACTGATAATTGCTACACTCTCTCCCCATTTCCTCTTTGTAACTTGCAAGGTTCCTTGAACCTATAGACTATGTAAATTACAGTGGTTAGGTAGAGTTTGCGTTTAGATTACAGCTCACGCTGGGAAATGTTTAGGTTCAGGTTGTCAAAGCAAGGTTACGCTTGTGGTAAGGCCAGACCACACAGCCCTAGTTTAAAAAAGTAAGGGGAATGTCCCCCCCTCAACTAATAACAGAGAACTTAAAAAATAATCCTTTCAACTAGCAAGCACATAGAATATGAAAAGAGAGGCTCCCATCTTTTAGAGAGAAAACAAAGTAACAACTAATGGAACAATTAAGCTAAATCAATAATTATGCCAGTAATCTGTTGTCTTTGTCCCAAAAAAACTTTCTTTAGGTGCCAGAAACAATGCAGGACATGTGCAGTAGAAATACTGAGAACTCTGAATATTTTGACAGTCATAAAGGTTTTACTGCCAACATGAAAATGAACAGGTGAGCACTTGAAGGTAAAGAACCACAAGCTACTTTCATCAGCTGCAGCAAAAGGCAACTACCTTAACATCAAACAGGCTGACATCTTTGAAAAAGGGGCCTCTCTGACTTTTTAATTGGACTCATAAAAGAAATATGGAGCTATTCCAATTAGACTACTGTGTGTGTGTAGGTGACCGTGAGTGTAGGTGTATTGGTGGATGAGTATGTGTGTTGACTAAGAAAATTGAGGAAACTGGAGAACATGTGAACATAAAGGAGCAGAAGAAAAGCATCAGAAAAAAAGCCCAGACATAAGCATGTTGCTATATACCTAATAGGGATATATGACAACTAATAGAACAATTAAGCTAATTGTTATAATCCAACATAATCAGTTTTTTTTTTAAATCCAATAAAGTGGTACACATTAATCATGAGTAACTACTTGCAGATGAAAAAAAATGTATTCACTATATTTATGAAAAAAATAATAAATATAAAAAATTCCCTTCTCACCCACCGCGGGTGGTTCTTATCCTCTGAGCTCGGGTCCTCTACCAGAGGCCTGGGAGCTTGAGGGTTCTGCGCAGTATCTTGGCTGTGCCAAGGACTGCACATTTCTGGACTGAGATGTCTGATGTTGTTCCTGGGATCTGTTGTAGCCACTGCTCCAGTTTGGGGGTTACTGCCCCGAGGGCCCCGATGACCACAGGCACCACTTTCTATTTCTTCACCTTCCAGGCCCTCTCCAGTTCCTCCTTGAGGCCCTGGTATTTCTCCAGTTTCTCGTGCTCCTTTTTCCTGGTGTTGCAGTACATCTACCACAACGGCTTTCCTCTGATGTTTATCCACTACGACAATGTCTGGTTGGTACCATTTTGTCTGTCTGGATCTGGAAGTCCCACAGGATCTTAGCTCTAGCGTTCTCCACCACCTTTGGGGGTGTTTCCCACTTTGATCTTGGGGTTTCCAGTCCATATTCTGCACAGATGTTTCTGTACACTATGCCTGCTACTTGGTTATGTCGTTTCATGTACGCTTTCCCTGCCAGTATCTTGCACCCTGCTGTGATGTGCTGGACTGTCTCAGGGGCCTCCTTGCACAACCTACACCTTGGGTCTTGTCTGGTGTGGTAGATCTGGGCCTCTATTGCTCTGGTGTTTAGGGCCTGTTCCTGGGCGGCCAGGATGAGGGCCTCTGTGCTGTCCTTGAGTCCAGCTTTTTCCAGCCATTGGTAGGTTTTACTGATATCAGCTACTTGGGTTATTTGCTGGTGGTACATCCCATGTAGGGGCTTGTCCTCCCATGATGGTATCTCTGGCACCTCAACCTCCGTTCCCTGTTGTCTGAGACATTCACTGAGCACATTGTCTGTTGTGGCTTTGTCCCTGATGTATTTATGGATCTTAGATGTTTCGTCCTGGACAGTGGTTCTCACACTCACTAGTCCTCTGCCTCCTTCCTTGCGGCTCGTGTACAGTCTCAGGGTGCTGGATTTGGGATGGAACCCTCCATGCATTGTTAGTAGCTTTCTAGTCTTAATATCTGTGGCTTTTATCTCCTCCTTTGGCCAGCTAATTATTCCAGCAGGGTATCTGATTACTGGCAGGGCAT